ACAGACACATCCCTTGTTTGAACAGACATGACTTGTATTGCTCCTGACGAACAGATGTGACCTCCAAATCTAAACAAGGTGACTGTTCGTCCAGGGCTCAACCATGACCCTTGACATTGTCTTTWYTTTAGCCAGGATGTGACCTTTGACCCAGAGAACATGCCTCTTGATTTGCTTTCACGAATTGGACTCTGCGCGAGGGACCCCAATATGTTGCTTTCGTCGAACAGGGGCTGAATCGGGTAAAGGCCCTTTTACTCTCACCGGCCTAAATTCGAAGTCCTCTGAGAAAACCTTCATGTATCAATAATACTTATTCCTCTTTTAGCTCTTTCATAGGCAGATACATTGTGAGGTGCAAACTCAAGTAAATTTTCTCTTGTAAACCAGCGATCTTCACTTGGATCTTGATAAGCGAACCTCACTTTATATTGTCGTTGGGGTCTGCCCCTACGTCCAGTCTGAAAGGTACTTTCAGCAACAATCTTATCCACGTCGTATTTCCCATCCATACTAGGAGGTATCGCTGATCTGCGACTGGGAAACAATTCATTGGTTACGCAAGGCAAGAGCTTTGAAGCATGGAATATTGGATACGTATGCAGATGTTGAGGGATCTCTATAACATATGAAGGACCATCCACATCGCCGATCACATCTAGAACTTGCCAAGGTCCTCTGTAGGCTGGTAACAACTTCTCGGAGATGTTTTCTTCAGGAACAAACTCCTTAGACTTGACCCATACCAGATCACCTACAGCAAATTGTGAAGGTCTTATGTGCTTATTTGCCTGTTCAATCATTTGATGTTGTGCCTTAATTATATTTTCTTTAACCTTCTCAATGTCCTTTTGATATTGAATCGCAAACTCACTAGTTCCTAGAGGAAGCTTATGTACTTGATCCGGGTTTAACCGATCGATAGGCCTGCGTGGACGCCACCCCAGATGCAACTCCATCAGAGTTCTACATGTAGAGAGGTGAACAGAGTTGTTGTAGGCATTCGCAACTTTGGGCAATTGTTCGTCCCAGTCAATCTGATCGGGACGGATATACATGCGCAACGTTTGCTGCAAAATCTTATTCATCTGCTCAGTGTGGCCGTTTGTCTTAGGATGCCTACCTGAAGACATAGTCAATTTAGAGTCGTAGATGCTCATCAGTTGCTGCCATTGTTCAGTTGTGAACCTTGTGTCTCGGTCACTTACGACTGTCAAGGGATGTCCATAGTCTTTCACCCAATGATTAAAGAACTCCCGGATTACCGGTTCCGTTTTCGCTTCCGCTGGCAATGCTACAAAAACAGCATACTTACTAAATTTGTCGATGATGACCATGACTTGCGTTTTTCCATTCCTGCTTTTTATCTTGGTGTCCATAAAGTCAATGGACACAGAGTCTCCTGGGCCTGTTGGAATTGGCAAAGGCTTAAGTAGACCAAGGGGAGGCCATGTAGTGCTCTTATTTCTTTGGCACACTTGGCAGACCTGCACATATGCAATGCAGTCTGGTTTCATATGAGGCCAAGTATAGTAACGCACAAGGTTTGCATAGGTCTTCCTCCGTCCAAAATGGCCTTCAGTGTCGTGACATTCCCCTAAGATCAGACTCTTGATCTCTTCCACATTCAGAATACAAAGCCTATCATGCACATCAGTTCTTTCAAACAATAGTCCTCGAGTGATTCGGTAATTAGGAAACTCTGCTCGCGCTTCTTACACACGTTTAAGCATAGCGCCATAGACAGGATCAGTGGAATACGCATTTCTATTTTTTTTTTGCAAATCGGTACCCACATCCAAATATGTTACAATGGCACCAAAGAAATCCGATCTTCGACTTAATGCGTCGGCGACAACATTATACGTACCCTTGACTGGCTTCAACTCAAAATCATATTGATCAATCTACGCGGCCCACCTAGTCAACTTAGGTGTCATCCGGGCCTGCGTTTTGAGCCAGCGAAGTGTCTCATGATCTGAGTACACTTTGGAGTGGCGTCCTAAGAGGTAGTATCACCAATGATCCAAGGCTTCCCGGAGAGCAAACAACTCTCTCTCATACGTAGAAGCGGCGAGCAAAATACTCTCTCTCATACGTAGAAACGGCGACCTTCTAATTAGGCAGTCGTCGGGACATGAACTCAACAGGTCTGTATCCGTTTCCATCATCCTGTTGGAGTACAACACCTATCCCATACAGACTGGCGACGGTTGTAACTACAAAGGGCAATGAAGGATCAGCAACCTTCAAAACTGGATAATTAATCAAACATTTCTTTAAACGCTTCAACGAAGTTGTGCAATCTGAGTCCCACTTCCAGATAGTTTCTTTCTTTAGCAATCTGCGAAGGGGAGCAGCAATTATCGTGAAGTGTCTGACGAACTTTCGATAATAGTTGGCTAGCCCAAGGAACGACCGCAACTCTGTCAAAGTGCGGGGGTTAGGCCAATCACGAATCGCTGCAATCTTCGTGTCTTCCGGTTTAATACCGTCACCATCGAGTACATGCCCAAGATATAAAACCTGACGCTTAGCCCACTCACAATTCTTAGGGTTTAATTTTAGATTTGTTTTCCGCAATTTATTTAGCACAAGTCGAAGGTGCTCGCAATGTAAATCTTTCTTGAAAATCAAAATATCATCGAGATATATTACAACGAATTTACCAAGCCATTCACGAAAATGTTCATTCATAGTTCTTTGGAAAGTTGCAGGTGCATTCGTAAGACCAAAGGGCAGCACAATGAACTCATAGTGCCCATACCTCGTTCGAAAGGCAGTTTTATATTGGTCTTCGGCCTCTACCTCGATCTGATGGTAGCCAGACTTCAAGTCGATCTTTATGAAGTATTTGCTACCTTACACTCTATCCAACAGATCGTCAATTCAGTGTAATGGCTCAACATTCTTAATAGTTATATCATTTAATCTTCTATAGTCTATGCACATGCGGACCTCACCATCTTTCTTTGGCACGAAAAGCACTGGCGCAGCATAAGGCGAGGAGCTAGGTCTTATCCATCCCTTTTCCAGCATTTCATCAAGCTGGGTTCGCAGTTCATCTAATTCTTTAGGCGACATTCGGTATATAGGCCCCTTAGGAATTGGACTTCCGGGAATGATCTCAATGCGATGTTTGATAGAGCGTACCACAACACCGCTTGGGGCCTCTGCCACATCTGCGAATTCTTTTAAAATCTTTTCAATTTCCGGGGACGTTGCCTCTTCTTTAGCTTCACCTTCCTTTACTGGTGCACATATGCAACAAAGACTTGATCATACAAGTTATATCTTTTTACATGGCGGGCGAACGCGGGGGCACTCATACAACAATGAGCCAAGCTGCTTTCCTTACCGGATTCATGAAAGAGGCGGATTCTTTTCTTTCCACCCTGCGGGCTAGGGAGCCAACATTCATGATCCCTCATCGTTATGTCCGCATTTGCAGCTTCACCCCAATCCATACCTAAGAGGATGTCAAAGGGAAGATTATCTTCCACCAAGAGAGTCAGAGAGTGGAGAACGCGTTCCACCTTCCCCTCTGCTTCTAGCCGGAAGTATATCTTAACCCCTTCAACATATCTATCCATGACAGTTACTGTACTGTTAGCTAATTTACTCACTACGGACTCATCTAATTGCTTAACCTTTAGCCCGAGACGCAGCTTTTGCAATCCTTTCTTACTAATATAACTGCGAGTTGATCCATTACCAATCATACCTCCAACTCTTACTTTGTTCACTTCTAGATCTGCAATTATTAAGTGTCCTTTTCGTTTCTTCATCTCAGTCTAGGCTTGGCGACGAGAGGCCAACTCATCACCCATGCCAGCGGGGGATCCATCTAGAGAGATGCATACGCTTGCCACCTCTGGACAGGGTACTAGATGGGGACTGTCTACCTCTTCAGTTTCTGCCAGTGGGACCTTCGAATGGGAGGATTTTAGTTTTCCAACACCCGAAGTCCTTGTAGAGGCAACTGAGACCTCTACTGTCTGTTCCCTTTTGCCCTATGAAACACCCTCGACGGCGGCCATCCGCGGCCGAATCCACGGACGTAGCCAGTCCGCTGACCCCGCTGACGCCTATGTGTCTATTCAACGGGCGACGGGAAAGTTTCAACTCCGTTGTACCCGTTGAATAGCCTCCGGGGCCCCGTTGAATTCCCGTTGAATGGTACAACGGACCCTCCCCGTTGAATATTGTTCAACGGGGAGGGTGCATTGGGCCTCGGACACTACGCTGGACGCACGTGAACCAAAAAAAAATCGTCCAGTTGAATCCCCGTTGAATCCCCGTTGCATCCCCGTTGCATCCTGTTGAATCATCGTTGAATCCCGTTGGCAAAAAAAAACGGAGATAGTCCAAACATTCCGGAAAAGAACTATGTTATGCAAAAACATAAACTGAACAACTTTTGCCTCAGGGTCACATCGAAAATCTTCACCAAATTAAAAATAAAAAATAAAATATAAAAATAACTTATTTATTTATTTACTTATTTTTTTTTATTTTTTTTTACGTGTGTGTGTGTGTGTGTGTGTGTGTGTGAGTGTGTGTGTGTGTGTGTGAGTGTGTGTGTGTGTGTGTGATCGGGTGGGGGTGGGCGGGGCGACCCATCCCCTACCAATCAATCAATCAATCAATCAATCAATCAAAAGAGAAAAAAAAGTTAAAAAAAAAAGGGTCCTTTTTTTTTTTTGATTGATTGATTGATTGATTGATTGATTGATTGATTGACTGGTAGGGGATGGGGCGCCCCCCCAACCCCCACCCAATCACACACACACACACACACACACACACACACACACTCACTTGCGCCGAAGTTGGGCGGGGTCCCCGCCCGCGCAACTTGGGCGAAAGAAAGTGTGTGTGTGTGTGTGTGTGTGTGTGTGTGTGTGTGTGATTGGGTGGGGGTTGGGGGGGCGACCCATCCCCCACCAATCAATCAATCAAAAAAAAAAAAGGAAAAAAAATCTATCTGCTTCGAGTCTGGTTTTGTTTTTGATTTTTTAAAAATAATTTTAATGCTAAAAAAATAAAAATAAAAATATGGGGATGTAGAGAGCAAAAAAACTCTACACCCCCATATTTTTTATTTTGTTTTTCACCTATGTTTTGCCTGCAAAAAAAAAATCCGCGGGCCGAGTTGTACCACGTTCAACTCGGTTCAACGGGGAGTTGAAACGGGAGTTGAATGGGAGTTGAACTGTTCAACTCGAAAACCCCGTTGAATCCGATTTCGGATACACAGGCTGACACGTCCGCGCGAACACGCGGCTTTGAAGCCACGTGGCGGCGCGTGGGAACGACTTTCAAAAAACGGGGGACGCCACGTGGCGGCCCATCCCCGGCCCCACCCCCCCCCACAAAAAAAAACGAAAAAGATCAACTTTTGGATGGGGGGGTATGGGCGAAATCGAAAGAAATCGAAAAAAAAATAAAACACGTGTTTTTTTCTTTCGTTGATTGATTGATTGATTTATTGATTGGTTGATTGGTGGGGGCGGGGTCGCCCCGCCCCGCCTTTGATTGATTGATTGATTGATTGATTGATTAGTTTCGTCGTTTTTTTTTTTTCGTTGATTGATTGATTGACTGGTGGGGGAGACCCCCGCGATTGATTGATTGATTGATTGATTGATTGATTGGTTTATTTATTTCTTTATTCAATTTTGTTGTT